AAAAGTTTGACACATCCAATAAATTTCATTCCACTTCATGATTGTGTCCCACTTGTTGTTGATTCTTCACAAAAAATTTGAATTTTATATCTTTATGTTTGAAGCCTGAAATGTGGCAAGAGGTTGACCAGTTCAAGGGGGCCAAATACTTTCGCAAGGCACTGTATGTGTGTGTGTGTTGCATTCATTGACATCAAGTTAAAGTCAAAGACTGAATCAGAAGGATTTCTTCTGAATGCAGCTGTATTTTTTTTATCTGTTCATGTTGGATGGGAAACAACATAACTATTAGATGCCAAAGTTTCTTCAGTTACCTGTGTGATATTTTTTAAATTACTGCTCCTCTATGTTATAGATTCTGATGTGGTTCTGACTGCAGCAGCGGCCCAGTTTTTATGTCACAGATGACATATGTGGATACAGTCTGTGTGGCTCTATTTTTACCTCCAGTACCTGACAGAGAATCTGCGTCTCATCCAAATATCAGCACTGTAAATCATTCATAGGATATACCGGCTCATACATGTGGACGTATTGTTCAGTCTCTTCTGTTTACTCACTTTCTGGAAATCACTTATTTAAAGAATCAGAAGAAGATGCTGATGTTTTCTAAATTATTAAACTGAAAAGGCTGCATAAGTCTGTATAACTTGTTTTAAAATAGGAAGCACAATTAAAAACATGTCGAAGTGAAAGAAATTAGAAAGAAACTGTCTGAGATTAGAGGATAGTAAAGATATTTCAGCTACTTAACTTTAGCCTTGTGTTGGAAAGTCCACAGATCATCACCAGATTGTTCCTGGATTGTTGGAAGAAGTTGCTCTTGGAGAACATATTAATCCCGCTCTTTATCCATGGCAGTGTGTTTGGGCAACTGTGGGAAATGACTTAATTTGCAGACATAGACTACTTTGTGTCCTTTGGTAATTATAAACCTTGGAAAACAAATATTAATTATGGGGTTCCTCAGGTGTCCATTCTCAGGCCACTTTTATTTAACATCTAGATGCTTTCCCTCATCAGTCATCAGTATACAGTGACTGTATACTGATGACTCACAACTTTACATCTATGAGTCACCGGATGACCACATCCCACTACAGGCACTGAGTCAGGATGTTCCTAATATCAGTGAGTGGATGGGTCTGAGTTTCTCCCAGTTTAATGTTGAAAAGTCCAGTTTTTGTCCAAAAAATGCAAGGATGGAGATCAGTGTTTAACTAGAATCAATGGGGATAAAGACCATGGAGCATTTAAGCAATATGGGTGTGGTTTTGGACTCAGACCTAAATTTAGACAATCACATAAAATCCATTACTAAATCAGTTTAGTGTCTTCTTAAAAATATTGCCAGAATAAAGGGTTTCCTGTGAAAACAGAACAAAGAAAACTGGTGCATGTCTTTATTTTTATTAGATTAGATTACTACAACAGGGTTTTTACCGGTCTCTGGAAAAAAATCAACCAGGCAGCTGCAGCTCATCAAAAATGCTCCTGCCAGAGTCCTGACCAACAACACGAAAATGTATTATGGCACAACAGTTCTTATATCACTGCACTGACTCCCAGCTTGTCAAGGAATACATTTTAAAATTTAGGCACTAAATGGTCTTGGGTTGAAATACATTTCTGTGTTGCTTATCAGTTATGAACCATGTAGACCCCTCAGGTCTTAAGAGACCTGCTTGCTCCGTGTGTCCAGGACCAGAACTAAACCAGGTGAGGCAGCATGTAGTTTCTATCCTCCTGGGCTCTAGAAGAAACTCCCTAAAAACCTGAGATGTGTAGAAACTGTTGATTCCTTTAAATCAGGACAGAAAACATTTTATTTGATGCAGCTTTTGATCAGAAAATTTTTTAAGTTTTTGAGCTCTACATTTAAGCAAAGCTTAAAGATTTCTGTTATTTTAATGTTTTTCCTTTGATTTCCTGGAAAGCAGTTTCTATTGTCTTGTGTATTCAAGCTCGAGCTTGAATGAGAAGAATCATCACTCATGGGTTGGATCAGGATGTTTCACTAGTGGAACCACGTAGAACTCATGGTGGATGTTAGTCTTTCTCTGCAGATATCCCAGTCAACCAAAGTAAGGAATCATCAGAGAAAATAACTGCTTCAGTCTCCTGATGTGCTTCCTTTTACTTCCTGCAGAATTTCAGACTCTCCTGGCTGAATTTCTGAGACAGAGGTGGCTTCTTTGTTGTTCTTCTTGCCCAAACGTGTTCACTTCACCGATTGTACAGATGCACTCACACCTACCTGCTGCCAGTGTTCAGCAAGCTCTGCACCTTAAAGTTCCCTTCAGTTTCTTCAATTTAAAAAATAAAGCTATGTTAATTCTCATTTGTTCCCTTCAGTTTAAGGCTCAGTCTTTCAATCAAGGAAGTCAAATATCACAGTGTGTGTTTTACAGTGTGGAGTCACCATGCTGAAATGAGTGTAGGTCCTGGGCACCACTAGCCACCCTTTGGATCTGCTCCTGTCTAGTCAAAGAGTTTCCCTGTTACAGCTTTCAGTTTTTTTCAGGAGATCATGTGATCAAACATTGAGTTTTCAGAGGGTAATTCTTGTGATGTATCATCATAATGAACATGAGTAACGGGTTCATTTATCTGAACACCAGAAAGACGGTCAAAGCAGTGAACAAGTGGAGTAAAGGTCAGATATCTGGAACATATTGACTACAGAGTTTCCTTCAGAGGAAATCTCTCATATTTTATATTTTTTATATTTTATACATCCAACTGTGCATATGTGGGATCAGCTGTGGGCCTCATACTGTAAGCTGCGTACATGCTTGTAAAACTTAAATAACACATGAGGAATGTGATCATATTCAGGCTCAGCAACACACATCGCTTTAAGTCTAAAATTGCGCACACAGTAAGATCTCGTAAAATAACAAAACCTTTTAAATAAGGTAGTCCATCCATCAGTTTCTTCCACCTGGATGGATCCATCCAGGGCTGGATGGATGGAGGTCATGTTTTTGCACTGTTGGAGGAAGGATTGGGACACCCAGAGCGAACCCACGTACCGTCTAGTGGAAGAAAAACCTCAGCCAGGGATTTGAACCCAGGACCTTCTTCCTACAGGGCAATGGTGCTACCAGCTGCACCACTGTGCAGGCCCCTGATGTATAATGCATTTATATTAATATTTTTGATTTTTTCTCTTTGATGAATAAGCCTAAAATGGACTGGGTATGCAAGTAAGCTAGTGCCTAGAATGGCTGTGTTCAGGGCAAGGTTACTATGTTACACCATGAGGTCAGATGACCAAACAAACTTGAATGAATTATTTTGCAGCTGGGTCTTCTCTGTTGGTCGTGTCCCTCTCAGTGTCTCCACTGGACAGAGCCACTGGTGTTTCAACTGTTTCAGTTCACGACAGGCTAAAGCTTTGGTGGATTTCGGGATGGTTCTTAGGATCCTGACCGATTTCCATCCAGTTTCATCTACAGTGGCAGCATCATGCTGCGGTACTGATTTACTACTTAAGTCTTACCTGTCCATTAAAAATGTAGGATTTTTAATTGATGATCACATGACTTTTAAGGATTATATTTATTATATTTTAACCAAACTGAAATGTTTACTGGGATTTTCCTTGTTTTTCTTTTACTGTAAAACAGAAACTGGTGTAAAACAACTTTTTGACTATGGTGATGTTCACTGTCTCCAGATGCTAATAGTGTGTACCATGCCTCACTGAAACTCATTACTAACTCAGCCCCCTAACTCATCACCGTACCCTCTATGCTAACGTTAACATGATGGCCCTGTGTGTCCATCATCTCAAAACCATCTTATGCATCACCCTATCTCAGCTGTCTTGTATTTTAATACAGACAATGGATGTTCTACAATTTGCTGTTCCCAAAGTTCGAACTGAACTAGGCAAGTAATCATTGTGGTTCTCAGCTCCCAAAACTTGGAATCAACCACAAACTGATCTTCAACTTAAAGCTCTGGAGACACTCAATGAGTTTAAATCGTTGCAGTCTATGTTACTTTATTGCTTTTAGTAATGTCACTGTGCTAATGCCTTCTTGACCAGGTCTCTCTTGTAAAAGTTCTCTCCGTGCATGTATGGGTTCTCTCTGGGTACTCTGGCTTCCTCCCACAGTCCAAAAACATGACTGTTAGGTTAATTGGTCACTCTAAATTGTCCTTAGGTATGAATGGGTGTGGACATGGTTGTGTGTCTCTGTCTTGCCCTGCAATAGACTGGCGACCTGTCCAGGGCGTACCCTGCCTCTCGCCTGTAGAACGTTGGAGATAAGCACCAGCTCCGTGACCCTGTACGGAAGAAGTGGGAATAAAAAATGGATGGATGGATAAAGCAGGATAACATTAAGCTTATGGGATGGCCTTCTAAAAGCTCTGACCTCAACCCTGTTGAAAATCTGTGACCAGAGAAAGTGCTGATGGAGGTGCAACTTGTAGAGACATTTAGGTGAACATTAGTGAGCCAGTGTATAAAATGTGCGTGTGCTGTAGTTAGGGGTTGGGGTGTATTTTTAGTTAGTGCAGCCCCTCACATCTATCAGCTGGTTATTGGCTCTCAGAGTGTCGGTATAAATTAGCAGAGCTGTCAGCAGCGTCTCCACACAGATTTTCACCGGTGGAAAGTGCCGCAGCTCCATCCCTGCAGGAGGTCTCACATTTAGATTTCATTATGATCTAACACACAGACTCAGTGTGGATGTGATTACAACAATAACCCCTCTGTGGGTCTGTTCCTTGCAGGAGGTCTGAACCTGGCTGAAGATGTCCAGTGAAAAGAGTCTAGAGGTGGTGGGGTGCGACGCCTCCATCATGAAGAATGTCTGGGAGATCAGAATGAGGGAATACGGACTGAGGATGCGTGTGGAGCAGGAACGTCTGGAGAAGAGCGCTCTGCCCATGTGAGAAATATTTCATCTGTGAAACTCTGGTACAAAAAGCTAAAGGAGATAAAACTAATTTTAGGTTTGGATTAAATATTTTTAGCTGTAAAATATGAAAAACAACATCATACAGATGCACACTGTTGTGCTTCTGCTGATATTTTCTGACACATTTTACAAGATAATTGATGTTAAAACATTTATCATCATCAAACTTCTTCATTGTTCTGATGGTGATGCCCAAATTATTACTCACCATCAACCTTGACTGAATATTTCTCACTATGCAGCATTTTTAAGCTGAACTGCAGCCTTCATCCTATTTAACCGCTGAGAGGATCGTCTCACAGCCTCCGTCCAGAAACTGGGCCCAAACAGCACCAATCTGTCGACATCAGCATGTTTTCAATGCAGTTCTGAACAAACTGCCCAGAACATTCTGCTGTTAGCTATGTGTCAGCTCTGATATCCAAATGTTCATCCAAACTGCTTTGACATTTGCAGCTCTGATATCCAAACTGTGAGGTTGTAGTTTCATCCTTCAAACTTCGTCGTATCAGATTGTTTCTGACAAAACCTGCAGTTGACCTTCTCTTCACATGGAAATTTATGCCCACCTAAATTAGTTCTCTTGTTGAAAAAGTACTAATTCAGACAGGAAGCTACTAAATCATAGTTTGTTGGTATTTGGTGATCTTCCAGTGCTTGTTTTTTATTAGCTTAGAGATTATAAAAAATTTTAACAGCTACAGTTCTTTGCAAAAGTTTCCTAATTTCTTTCGTATGCCCTTCCAAACAGTCAGATGTTCCTCTAATCTTTATAAATGGTCTTGATCAACAGTTCTCTGGGCTTTCTGAAGGTCTTCCAGTGGAGTTTAGATGCTTTCCCCCTTAAGTTTAGTCCCTTCCTTGTATCTTAACATTCCCGGTCCTGAACATATTTTCATTACTGAGGACATTCCCGACACTGAACAGATTCCCGACACTGAACAGATTCCTGACACTACTCAAAGTGAGCTTGGTCATCAGTTCTCCAATAGTTCTAAAGGTCTTTCAAAGTTTTCTTTGGACATTCACCACTTTTTACATTTATTTACAGTCCATTTCTTGAATCTGACAATTTTTTAAATGCTGAACAGATTCCTGGTGCTGAACAAAATCCTAATTCTAAAGAGACTCGTTGTTTTGAATAGATTCTCGACTCTAAACGGATTTCCTGACTCCGTTTATTGTGGTGAAAAGGGCTCCAGGCTTTCTAAACATCTTTCAAAACGTTTTTTGGCTTTTTTCTTGACCCAGTTTCAGTCCAACACCTTATTATCTTATTAATTAATCTAAAACTCAAGGGATGAACCAGTGTTTGGTAAAGATTGGGATCTTTAGGATTTTTCAGCAGTCTGGCAGAAATGCACAATTTGTTCCCATTTCCTAAGTGAAATCTATGACAAATCACAAAATTAACACAGTTTACATACTAAACTCGGGATTTTTGCTCCAACCATTCCCGAAAAACTGTCAGGTGAAAACGTGGCATATAGTAGCTCATCTGAAGGAAGATGCATCTCTCAAGTCCTGCGTCAGGTCTTTGCTTCATTATTTTCCTGTTTCTTGATCATATAACTTTTAAATGCTGTTTATCTGCTGGAGACTTCAATACTTTTTATGACACACCGCTCACTGTCACCACATGCTGCCATGGTCAGCTACTGGACTGAAGCTGCGTACCAAAGCAGCAAAAGTCCAGAGAAAAGCTTTAAAGGGCATTTAATTAGCCTGGAAGACTGCTACAACCAAAAACCACTAAAGATGACCTTATTTCTACTGAAATTGATTTATTATTTGCATTAAATGTTTTTACTATCATTTTGTATTTCTTTCTTTACGACCCTGGTTATCAGGGTGTACTTATTATTATCCCAGTCCCAGTGGGTCTAGATCAGGTCTCTTGTTTAACGGCAGCTGTATTTTATCCACCTCTTATAGAGATCAGACCTGTTAGTAACAGCTGTAGACAGTAATTTATCCATATTAATGTTTTATGAAGTGTGAGGAACGTTCTGCCTTAAAATAGGTATTTATTGAAATTATTCTTTAAGAGCTGATTTCTCAGGACCATCATAATGATAAAGAAATCAGGATCTCCAGAGCAGGAAACCTGATCCACCAGAACACTAAAGGTCACCAGTTAGCTTCGCCACCAGATCTCCATAGAAGTTTCTGTCCAAGAATGCATTGCATGTCTCGACTTCCAGAGCAGCCTGAAGAGCCGAACACATTTAGCGGGAGGTGTAATAAATACTTGGACACAGTGACACAATGATTTATGGTGAAGACTGTGAGGCTGCAAGTAATGTACTGTTTCAAGGCTATTTTTGCAGGTTTTAAATTGTACATTTCCTGCACTGACTGTAATCGGTATGCAGTGGGGATGCAGAAGGAAGTAGTCTCCTCAACACGCTGACACACATTGACTCTGTCCTGAGTTCGCCTCCTATTTTTTTAATTCTTTGTTCCATATACTGACAACCGGTACTTGTGATCATTGGTAGTCTAAAGGTGTTGACCCCAAAATATAAAAAAAAAAAAAAACTCTGGCCCATTTAAAGTGCCCTAAACCAATGTCTCCAACCCTGCAATCCAGCGGAGGCTAATAAGATAGCTAGCTAATAAGCTAACGGCTAATGACTAGCTTTTCCATAAAGCTTAAAGTGTCTGTGCATGCTTTTGCAGAAATTGAAAGAAAAAATCTTGATATTGAAGAAATTGGGCAGTTATTGACATTATATTAGGATTAAAGACATGATAAAAGACAATTGTTACACAGACTAAGCATATTTCGATGTTAAAATTTGCAAGTCCAAAGTCACCTGGAAATGACATTCAAGGAGAAGTCTCCGTTCATTGATTGTGTGAGTGTCAATGATAAACAGTTTAGTTAGAAGCCAAGTAGCGTTAAAAACAGCATGAATATGGTGAAACAGTGCATTGCTGGTGGTGGCAGCAATACTGCGACAGCAGTCGTTAGTCTGCACTACTTTCCTGAAGCGAACAGGATAAGAGCTGCCTGGATCAGAGCTGGAAAACTGACGAGGGACAGATGGGCTGGTTCCACCAAGCACAGCCAGTTGTGATCGGAGAGATCCACTATATATCCAGAGAGTGGTGGATTTTCAGCAGGTCAAATATAACATAAACTCTGCGAATTGGTAACCTGTGTCTGAATTGGTCCGTTTTTAAAA